TGGACTTAATCGTTCAGCTCCCTCGGACCACTTCTTTCCCTCACTACGACGCCATCGTCGTTTTCGTCGATCGATTGACCAAAATGGTCCACGTCGAGCCCACCCACAGCGCGATTGACACCGCTGGCCTGGCCGACATTTTTATGGAGCGTGTTCATCGTTACCATGGGATTCCCGAGTCTATCATCTCGGATCGCGGCCCCCAGTTCACTTCGGCCTTCTGGCAGGCCTTATTGGCTCGCCTTGGTGTGCAGCCCCACCTCTCCTCGGCCTATCACCCCCAGACTGATGGCCAGACGGAGCGCATGAATCGCACTTTGGAAGACATGCTCCGGCGGTACATTGGGGCTGCCCATACCGACTGGGATCGCCTTCTCTCTTGCGCTGAGTTCGCCATCAACAATGCGAAACAAGAGAGTACGGGTTACTCCCCATTCTTTCTCAACTACGGGCGTCACCCTCAGACCCCTTTCTCTCAGTCGCTGCCCCTCAAACAGCGCACCTCGCTGCCCCTTCGCAGCAATGGCCGCAGCCTCCAGCGTCGGCCCGCCAAGGCTTGGGCTCAAGCCAACTTGCCTCAAATTCCCGGGGTCCCTGCCTTCCTCCAAGATCGGGAATCCGCGTTGCGCCGCGCCAAGCAGTGTTTACAGAATGCCCAACAGCGCATGAAACACTGGGCCGATCTTTGACGGAAGGCAAAGTCGTTTCAAGTGGGGGATCTGGTGCTTCTGTCCACCCAGAACCTCCACTTGAAACATCCCGGTACCAAGAAGCTCTTGCCCAAGTGGCTGGGTCCATTCCGGATTCAGACGCGCATCAATCCCGTCGCTTTCCGGCTGGACCTGCCTGTCGCCCTGCGCCGGTTGCACCCAGTCTTCCATGTTTCCTTGCTGCGCCGGTACATCCAGGGCCATTCGGTGCTGCCTCCTCCCCCTCCCCCGGTGCTTTTGGATGAGGAGCTCGAGTATGAGGTCGAGGCTCTCCTCCAGAAAACCATCGTCCGGCGTGGCCGAACCCGCCAGCCCTACTACTTGGTTAAATGGAAGGGCTATGATATGGGTCACAATTCCTGGGAACCTCTCCACAACCTCACCCACTGTGAGGAAGCGTTGCAGCGCTTCGCACTCCAGGCTCAGCAGGACCCTTCGCTGATTCGTTCGCCCAAGGAGGCCTTTCAGCCGCCGCTTCGGCGCCCTCCGCCATCTTCGCGCTAGCCCTTGGCTGGTCCCCCTGCTCCTCTTGAGCCCCCCATTTTGTGTATTGTTTTGCAGCCCTCGTCTCCGGCTGGATGAGCCTGCTCCCCCCTTCCCCGCTGTTCACCAGGCGGGGGTACTCACGGGACGCTCGATGGATCACTCGCCTGATTTGGCTGGAGCAGCGGGATCCTTGATCCCCCCCCTGCCTTCGGGGCGTACCTGGGGGACCTTTCTCCCCTTTCTTTTTCTCTTGCCCTTCCCCTCCTGGCCATTCAGGGGTTGCGGCGCGCATTGGGGACTATTGCAACCCCTATAGGGTGCCCGCATTGTCTCTTCTTGCTTGGTACGGGTTTAGAGGCCGGTATTGCAGGGTTCTCCACGGATTCTCGGAGGGGGGATGTGCTGGACATGCCACCCCCTCCCTTGTTCCTCACTCCTTGTTACGCCTCTTGCCCATCTTGGGGGGGTGCAGTTTCGACTGTACTCCCCTATGTGTGTGTGCCTCTCCTGTCCCGGGCCTTCCCGGGAACCGCCTCCGCCTTCTTCTGGGTTCCCCGTGGTTGCCTCTATTCGGAGTCCCTCTATACCGTGAGCTCCCAGGCCACTACGCCCAGCCTTGTCCGACGCATCCTTATTACCCACCTCCTTTGGGTTCGGCACATCACTGGTGCAAAATGTCATTTCACCTTTGGCGCTTCATCGGCCAGTTTCTTTCATGCTCCTTCCTCATATTCGCCGTTCGCTCTCAAAGACTTCCGCCCTTCGCCAAGGGCACTGGCGCCACCTCCCTCGCCTTCACCGCATCTCCCCGGCCGCGATCGGGATTGCCCAGCCTCCCGCTCTCCTCGACAATCAATCGCCGCGGGCGACTAGGGGAGGGACAAGACTCAGCCGGTACCCGGGGGTATTGACAACCCCCCTACAGTAACCGGCCCAAGAGGGCTACGGTTACAATAGTGTAGGGGTTAGAGTGCTTAGACCGGCACTAGGGCGGTGGCCACCGGTACCTGGGGTACCCCCAGGTACCGGCGCTCGGGTGTGGCCCCAAGTACGTAGTACTTGGGGTCCGGTGCTGGGTCCCAGCTTAATGGCCTTCGAGCGCCCGCACCGGTACGCTCTCTCACCCCCTGTTGCGCGCTGCCGCGCAACAGACGTGTGGATGGAGAGGAGACTTCAGACTATCTGGGAGTAATCACTTTTATCTGGGAGTTATCATTTTGGTGCGTTAGGGAGTCGGGAGTAACGTGTAGAGGGCTCGAATAGGGATTGTGGTGCGGATTGGCTGTCAGCGATTGGTACGCGAGGACATAAAAGGTTCATTCGTATTTCTGGGAGTAACGACTCCCAAGGGGACGTGGCATCTGGGAGTAGCATTGTATATAAGACAAACCTTCCGTGTAAGGCGGCAAAACTTGGGCCCACCACTTGAACGTTGACTCGTGTGTTTCTGCTTCTAATTGCGATTCCATCCCCGTTTCCCTTGCCGTATCTCATTTCGCCTGTGGGTAAGGAGGCGACCACAGTGTCTCCCAAGCATTGGGACCGCATTGGACTGCCCATCAGCCTGGGGAATTGGCTGGTCTGGCATCTACGGCTCTGCAGCAGGACCGCCTGGACTCCATCCGTTCGACACGGCAGAGGTACGTCGGTGGGTGCCACATTTGCGCATGCGGGTGGCTGGCGACCGTACACGCCCTCCCCCGTACCTGGCCATTATGCTGGCGCTGCGAATGTAAATGCCATAGGTCGGGTCGGATTCAACGTAGGCCGATGACGACCGCATCAGGCCTGTCAAAACAATACGTGCACCACGTGGTGTTGGGGCCTGACAGTGAAGAACTTCTGCCACACTTCGGAGGCATCGTGGCCTTCTCGTACGGGCACACGTGGACCCTTGGATCTGTACCCAGCGCTAGCACACGCGCCCACCACGCGCGGACAACGTGCCGTGACGGCCACGCGCCACACGCGGGGCGTGCGCGCACGCCTGGGGCGGTATTAATGCCCGCCCCTTTCGCAAAGAGGGACTCACCCGCCCTGGTTCCCGCCGCCGCCTGCACCGCAGTCGACTTGCAGGTAAGCTCGTTTGAAACCAGCCCCCCATGCCCTGCGCCGATTGGGGCGCCCTCCTCGAAAAGCTGCTCCGGCGACAGGGCGTGTGCCCTTCTGTGGCGGACGCGCTACTGTTGTCGACGGCGGAGAGTTTGTTGGAGTTGTGCGTCTCTGGTCTTTGCTTGAACTTGAGGTGTTGTTTCGGTGAAAGCCGTTGTTGATGGGTAGGCAATGACTTTGGCGCACCGGGGGTCCCATCAGCGGCTTGACCGCAAGCTGCTGACGGGAGTCTTGAAAATGTGCTCAGAGATGTGCCCTGGGCCGTGTTTTTGAAGCAAGGTGCCAGCACGTCAAGACTCCGGGGGGGTTTGGTGGCGGCGCGTTCGTTGCTGTCCTGTATGGTTTGCACAAGTCGCGAGACGTTGGGTGGCGCAGGAAGCGTGCAAACCGATGCACTCTGCTCTGCCGCCACCGAACGTCGGTGCCCCGGCTTCGTCAGCGTGTGTGGCACAACGGCGCCGGCGGGGCTGCAGAGGTTGGACGACGCCCCGAATGGGCACTGTACAGCTGCGCGATCCGTCTTGAGCTGAATCAGTCAGTCTCTGTACATCATTATTCATAAGCTTGTCGGATTCATGGCACAATGAGGTCAGTCGTTCGGGCACGCTGGGGGGCTTCGCATAGCATCATCCGACCTCCAGCCGTTCCAGGGAGCCTGGTCCCGTGTACAGATGTGATTTGGCGGTCACCACCAGTGGGCTACAAGCCCCCAGTCAGCTGTCATTGTCATTTTGCACTCATAATTGTTGTGCAATGTTCTTCAGGTGCTTCATCGCCATGGATCGCGCCAACGTGCTCATCCTGTTGGCTTGCCTCCTGTGCGGCGTGGCACTCGCCCAGGACGAATGCTATAGCGTGGATACGAGCAATGTCAGCGACGACCCAAAACTGGCATTGGACGTCTGCGAAATCAACGACCTTCTTGGATTGGACCCCCCAGATTACGAAATGGCCAGGGAGATTTACAAAACGGGCAACAACGCCAAGGGCACGACGCTTTTTGATGTTGCAACTGCTGAATATCCAACCGAGCTTTACCAGAAATACGCAGTGTTCTTTGGGGACCAGCAGTGGATGCACACAAAGATCGACCAGGCCCTCGATGGTGAAGGCAAATTCTCTTCCGATATCAAGAGGGTTCAGGTGAGGTGGAGCCCATTGCCACGGTCAGTGTTGCTCCGTCGAGGCTTCCATCCATTTGCCTATTTGGATGCAGTGAAACTTCCCAAATGCAGACGATGAGTTTCTCACATGCTTGGTACAATGTATGGTGGACAGGCAGTCAAGAAACTCCTGCAAGCCTCCGTGCTTGTCCAGAGGTTTTTCTATCACATTGACTCTGCTGTGGCAAAGACTGAAGCCAACAACCCGGACGGTGCTCTCAATAGCCTGGATAGGGCCATGGCTGTGTTCTATGGGGGTGACATCAGCTGTAGCCCCTTTGGCAACGGTCAGGCCAGGGGTATCGAGTTTGGCACCATCTCCGAGGGTGTCAGCAAGGCAAACAAGGAGGTCCATGCTGCTATCAAAGCAGGTCAGAGAGCCTTGCGTTGGTTCGCTAGATGAGTGATTGATCAGTGCAGAATTGCAATTTTCCTGTCAGAACCAGTGTGTGCCTTTAGGGCAGGCAGCGGGATCAGTTCATCTCGTGAGAAGGCTGGTGAAACACTAGATTATATTATAGGAATGGTGACTAGTGTGCCCCTGGCTGAAATGTGTGTGGTGGGTTGGGCAGGTGCGGAGGCTCTTATGGCCATGATAGAAGATTCCACAGCAGATGCCAAGGATGCTGTCAAAACTGCGAGGGATAACATGTTGAAGCAAGTGACTGTCATCTACGTCCAGGCCTGCTTCAAGTACGCCACTCTGATTGACACAGGCCTGGAAGATGGTGTAGATGCTGCGGTTGTGGAAAAGTCACAGGTGGGTTGCCTGTTATGGGCTCAGGCGCTGGATTGAGTTTAATGAGGACCCCACAACGCGCCAAAGTGCATACAAGCTTTCTGCAGCAAGGGTCCTTGCTGTAACTGACATTTTCATCTCATCCATGAATCCAGCCAGGGGCAGATTCAAACAAGGAAGAACATATGCTTTGACTGCCCGCAGCCATTTGCAAAGTATCAGTTGGATATGCAGTGGCTGGTGTTGTCCACCATGTTCGGCTGGCTCAGCTCTCTGCATCCATTGGTTCCATCTTTCTTAGCAAAGATGTTGGCATCAGGCAATCCACATCGCACACACAATGTGCTGTGAACAACAGGAGCTAGTTAAACTAATTCTTCAACTTCCGCTTTGCAGGCTGAGGGCTATGCCTATTATCAGGCCATCTATCCCCTCATCGCGGATGCCGACCCAGCAGGTGCTGAGGACATTCTCAAGGCATTCAACATCGGCGCTGCACCAGACGAAGAAGCTGCTGAGCAGGTATATAGTCAGGGCCCGGCTGTCCGAGCAAGAAGACTTTCAGGACTCCGGATGCTGCTTTGCTTGTCCACTTGTTGCCGAACCAACAAGACCGCTCCCTGACTGTGCAGTTGTGGTGGTTCTTTCCATGTGCTTGGAAGGGACATGACTTAGCAGCTTGTGCATACTGCAGGTGAAGGCCATCCTGAGGTCAAACTATGCAAAGCTGTCCATTGACGAGGATGACGTCAAAGATTTTGACCCAGAGGCAGTGACCAACTATGAGGACCCACCCGAAACATCCTGTGAGCTTGAAAACCCCTTTAGCTCCGATGACAGTGGCAAGCCTAACGATGTTGATGGTTAGTCCAGCAACTAGTGAAGTTGCTTGGAATAAGATACGCTCATTGTTTTGGGTGACCTGCTGCAGGGAAGGATGGCATATTCTTGAAACACATGGGCAATTCATGGGCTCCATAGGTCGCTTCACGTTTTGGTCGACTGAGTAGGTCATTGACGGGCGTGGTGTGCCTGCATGAGATCCAATATTGTAATTTCATATGACATTTGTATGCCACCATTGCTCAACATCTCACCTGAGTATTTGAAAGACTCTGTGCTTTGGCAGCGAAGTATACAATTCCAGGAGCTCGGCGCTATGTTGTGCTCTGTGATCCTTGCGCTGCTTTACAAGCATTCACGTTACAGCTTTACGTACTACCAAGATATCACCAGATCAATGGACCGTATCACGCATGGTCCATACTCCTATGTCACTAAGTAAGCACATCACTGAGTGGATCTTCGCGTCGTTCCTTTAAGCATTTACGTATTGTTCAGCGTTTGGCAAGAAATGGCATGATAAGTCGCACATTATCCAGCAAGAGTGGACAGGGCAAAAACACTGAATTGTGTTCCCTAATGTGCTGGCTCCCATTCCCAGCGAGAGCGATATACGCTGTGAAAGTTAAGCCAAGGACTGTGAATGCGAGAGTGGTGCCCATATGATGGAGGTTGTACAACATAAACACAATTGAGCCTGGACCAATCGTCAAGGGTACGATGGCGCCTTGTCAGTACCCATCAATCCATTGTCTCCACCACGACTGGCATTCCATGCTGCTTACTTGATCTCCACAATGCTTCAAACACAGCAATGTCTCTTGCTCCTTGCTCTGGCTGTGCTCTGATGGCTGCATCGCTAGCATCAGCAGTGCATTCCCTTTTGCGTGCATTCACCTGCCCAGCGAACTGCCGAAGTTCTCTTTCCATACCAGTAAAGCCAACTTGCACTTCTGTCTCGTCTGTCATCGACGGCGTTTTGTACCGCAAGGTGTAGCAGCCGCGGTGGCCCCCCCCGCCACCCCTCAGAATCTCCAGTGTGCCATCCACTCCAATGACACGCAGCGCCCATTTGACCTGATTAAACAAGGGTGCAAATCAATCTACAAGTGTCACTTGCAGCACTTGGGAGATTGCGGCTCTGCTTGGTAGCACTGCACCAATTGTGGACCCCACTACTGTCAAATATCTGGTTGAAACTGTAGCTGTTTTACAATCCACTGTGCTGCCCAACATGTGGACACCCCTGAGCGTGTACACAGCAGCTGCTGAGGGAAGACACTATTTTGAATTCTGTACACTTAGCGTCAATGTGACGTTAAGCCCTGCCCCCCCCGGGCGTTAATCCTTATTTCGACGCCAGGATGACTCGGCAAGATTACCTCACAATGCAATACAACTTCAAAACAATTCTAAGCAAAAAAAAGCCAAAACTGTAGTGACTGCAGCAATTCCAAAAAATGGGTTGCCAAAAGCCATTATAGGCAGCCCAAAACCTGCAAAATGATCTGTTGCAAGACCTTCCTCGAAGATCGAAAATTTGAGGAGGTTTTGCAACAAGCCATAAGCTATCTGCCGCTGATCAACGGCGTTTTTCTACATCTTCCCACCTTATTTTAAATTTAGTGCAATGACATCATCTCTTAGCGTCAATGCTGCAACCCCCACCCTATCCCACCTTTAACGTCAATTAGACGTTAGGCGTACAAAATTCAAATAGTGTCTGCTCTAAATCTTAGCGTGGCTGACTCTGCTTTCAGGATAGTGCTTGTCTGCCGTTCTATGTGAGATACAAGGGACAACTTTAGAGCATAGCTGTTCAATCATAGGGACCTTTGGGCCACTGGAGAACGGCCCACATCAGTGGTTTCACTACCTGCAGAGCAGCGAACGTGAAGGATACACCCGCCGGAACACCGCTCTCAAACTTCAGCCACCCAATGACAGTATCCGGTGGCGGCAGCTTGTCGGGCACCGCATTGAGGGCCAACCCCGAGGCCAATACTGGCTCCCCGCATCCACAGCCTTGTGCAACAAGTCTCAATGCCCCAATGAAGTGCACGGAGCTTTCCATCATGAAGCCTCCAGGGCAGCCTTCTGCATCACGGCGCCAGTCACTCCTGAAGTACCTGCACAAGTGAAGCTCACCACAGATGCTCTCAACGATTCCACTAACCATATTGCTTCTAGGAGACAAACAACGACCAAGTCACCCTTGCCCGCGCGCCCCCCCTTTGCCCCCAAGCAAGCAAACCTCCCTTCAGGGATGGAAGTAGAATTGAGGTGAATGGACAATAAACCAGAAAGTTGTGGCAAGTGCATGTCTCGCATTTTCGCTTCAGACTGTAGCCTAAGGCCATTCACACAACCCATGAAGCAGCAGCAAGCAGATCTGCACCAGTTTTCACTGTCAGCACGATATTCCTGGGGATGGGTGAAGTGCTCACTTGTTCTCTTCATTCATTGCCATATCGGCCACAAGGTCGAGCTTCACAATCTTGCCCAAGTTCTTGCAAATATCCCTCGCCTGCAGGAATACTTCCTCAAACCTATGGTTTCATAAAAGTTGCAAGCATTATAGCCGCTCTATATAACTCGTCAATCTGAACACCCCAACAAAGCTCAAACTGGTGCACTGCATAGACACGGAGATTCTTGATACGTTGCCAAAGAAAATTCCTCTTCTCAGCGTGCCTCATGTCTTGTAGTGAGCACCCCAAAGTGTGCCTGCAATCCACTTAGGGAACGCACCTTGTCGATTTTGGTACACTTAGCTGGGCATTGCACTCGTCAAGGACTTGCACTGGATCCAACCGTCACAACACGTACAACAGGTTAGTAATTCACTGTAGAAGATTGAAAACCACTCATCCAAACTCACCTGTAGTTCTCACCATAATTCCAGAGTGCCTTGGGCATCGCCCTGTACCGTGCAATTGCTTCTGCGGCCTCTGCAAAGCTGCACCCCACAGGCTTCTCCTGGAGAACATGTTTCCCATGTCCTAAGGCCTGCTCCACAACCTGTATCCACCATGGTTCAACAGCAATGATAATTTGCAACTTGTCTTGAGACAACCACCAATGAAGATCCTCAACAGATCTACACATCCAGTTGAACCAGGCATGGATGCATCAAGGGTCCTGCGCAGCCGTGAAGGGAAGTGACAGCTCGTTACCCCTGAACTGCACATTTCTGATCCAGTTCAACCATTTCTGGCCAAAGCGTAGGCAGTCCAAGGCATGGCCAAATAAGGCATCCTGAAGTATGCATGTCCCTCTGCTCAGCTTGCAGGAGGGCCAAAACGGAAAGTACAGTGAGTTACCTTGAGCATGGCCTGAACAGCCAGCACCACTATGACAGCTTCCACATCAGGGTTTGACAAAATAGCCTCCAAGCCATCTTCCCCCCAATGGGCAGTTACGTTGGGCAGAGACCTGGAGTGGAAATCTCCACAAAGGACATGATGAGTAGTTCTTGCCTGGGTGGGTACTTGTCAATTACTTGGCAACGATCCCATGCGCTTGCCCCTGCAGATAGTCACATCCTGGTGTGCTACAGCTAAGCAACATTCAATGTTAACAGCATAGTTGCACAATCTCCTGAACAGCATACAATTACGTTGCCATTCATAGCAACCCTAGTCTAGGTTTCCTTTTCACAGGAGCAAAGGAGAAGCCTAGCAACGCTGGATACTTGACAGGGACAGTTCCCTGACATTGAGCACAAATGCATGAACAGGACAGTTTCATAAACGACAGGACACTTTGGACATGGCAGTTGTCTTTTCTCAATCTCTAGGTGTAAGGTGCAACTGTGTTTAATAGACAGATATGTGAGCCAGCTTGTGCCTTTGTGCTAAAGTGCTAAGGGAAGACACTATTTTGAATTTTGCACGCTGAGTGCCAAAAAGACGCTAAGGGGGAGGTCCATGCTATGGACACTAAGAGATTATGTTATCGCACTAGAATCAAAATAAGGTGGGATTATGGACAAAAATGCCACTGATCAGCACCAGACAGCTCATAATTGTTCCAAAACTTCCCTCAAGTTTTCAATCTTCAAGGAAGCCCTTGAAATGGGTCAATTCGCAGCCTTTGGGCTTGCTCCCATTGCCTATCATGGCTTTCAGCATCTCATTTTTCAACCCACTACAATCGCCACAACTTTGGTTGTTTTCTCCCTGCAAACTTCTTGAAGCTGTACTGCATTATCAGGTAATGTTGCTGGGTCATCCTGGCATCGAAATAAGAATTGACACGGGAGGTGTGTGTGAGGGGGGTCTGAGCTTAGCGTACAAAATTCAAACAGCGTCTTCCCTTACATGCAAGCTGGTATGAAAGCTACAGTATCCACAAACAGAATAGCCACACACTTTGCTTGCTTGCAAGGTTTGCATGCTGCAAATGTCTTGCGACAAGAGGCTAAAGCCAAAGTGCCCACTCTTTGATAATAGGAAGCAGCTCATTGACGGACGATTGGCTCCTGCTCCACACGTGAGTTAGCTGGAGGTCGTCAGGAACTTGCCTGCAGCAAAAGATGTAAATAGACAACAATGGACTGCTGAAAACAGATCTTTTTCCAGAAATCCTTCTTGGAGCACGCTGGCTCCTTGTGTCAACAATTATCGAAGGTCAATTGAAGAAATTCGTTCACTCACAACTGCTGCCAGGAGAATACCAAAATCTTTTGTTGTTTGTTCTGGGGCACTCAAGAATCTGGGAATGTGCAATTATCCTTTCCAACCCTTCACGATCACTACATTTTGCGCTCCATCAACGCATCCTCTTCACCTTGGATATGTATGCCGAGCACTAACAGCAGTGGCATACATACATTATGAATTTTGTGAGCAGCTTGCTAGGCTGTCTGTGGCGGGGATTTGTGGGTGTACAGCTCTGGACAGCAGGATGCCAACCATTTCTTCCCCCAGTATCTTAACCGGTCGCAGTAGCAAGGAGCCGTTGCCCTTGCTCAAATGTCAGGTTTGGAGAGAGGTGCACCATGACAGAGAGTGAATCGGAAGCACCTCAGAAGAAGCGGCACGTACGCATCCCTGGCGTAAATGCCAGCGCCCAGAAGGGCAACCCGAACAGGCGCCATGCCCCAGTTGGCGGCAGGCAAGCGCTGCCGCACCGTGCGGCGGAACCACGACCAGCTGGGGCCAACACAGGAAGGGAGCCGATCATATGAGGATGACTGTGCCAGGTGGCCTTCGCAATTGCGTCGCGAAGACGGGTCTAATGGCAACCACACACGCGAGGGCCACGTGTCCGAGCCGTCCACAAAAGCCGGCATTGCATGGCTCACCGAGTCAAAGCAAGATGTGCTCAAGCAGATCCTGCTGGCGTCCAGAGTCGCTGGCTGATTATCCCGGCGCCGAACACGTTCTTCGATGCACGCCGAATACATGGCACGGCAGCGGATTACCTCGAGGCATCATCACACCTGTTTCATGGATCAGATGTGCAAACGTGACACTATTACGGCTAGAACTGATTGAGTGTTATTAATAACTGAATGCATGAAAAGATGACGAAGCACTAGGGATTGCATTAAGGATGTTGATGAACGGACTGAGTGTAAAGGACAGAACGTCTGTTGTCCTTTTGCCTCGGCTGTAAACCGTTGCCGTGGACTCGAGCGTACAATTCCCATTCAGGGATCGCCACCCCTCGACCCTGCCTGCCTTCGTCAACACCAATGAGCAAGAGCGGACAGAGAAACCTTTTCAACGGCCGTTGGAGCAAGGTTTTTCTCAACCACCTCAATCTCCCATTCTCGTTCAGATCTCCATCCTTGAATTGATGTTTGTTCCTGATGCTTGTATATCTCTTTCATCTTGGGAACAGATTGAACTTTGTAGATGTTGGAATCGCCCTGGTTTTGGGCCTAATTTCTTAAAGCACTCAAATTATGGTTTTCATTACAGAGGTCAAGACACATTCCGATTTCACTTTAAAGACATTTCTGTCGCTTGAGCCTATGAGTATTGTGCTAAACACATATACACATTACCATTCTTGCCAGAGTTGCACCATTTTTCAACCACATCTGGATGATATTGCGAGTGAGCGCGCCGGACTTAAGGATCCGTAACCCAGCAAAAGCACTCAATTTGTGTGGTGGATCCCAAGAGCGCAAGCAACCTTCACAAGACCAATGTGCTGGGGTCGATTGGAAGACGCCTTCGTATTTGGAGCATGTTGCTCACAGGGCTCAATCGAACCTACTAGAGAAGGTTCCAAATCAGCGTCACCAAGCTATCTGCTTTCCTATTCACACTCTATGGGGTACATTTATGCAGAATGGTCGGCGTTTCCTTCAGAGAAATACTTGCAAGGGCAAATGATGAGGCATTAGAATTGCTATGTGGAAAATCCCAACTCACGGCTACAAGCATCATATCACGGCACGGCATCAGGCATCATTTCACGGCTTCCAGAGGAAGCTGGAGTTTCAGCAGCTGCTCCATCCGCAGCTTCACAAACAGTTGCTTTTCATGACAGAGATTTTGCCTTTTGTGATAAGCACAACATGCTATCTATCGAAAATATGTTGGGATGTTTTATGTGAAAGTTGTTCACCTCCTTACGTGCCACCATACCCATGCCAAGAAATACCTAAATACCACATACTACGTACAGGCATACATACATACTAACTACGTACGTACACACTCCCTGCTTGAAGTCTTTCAGCTTGCTTTTTTGTTCTTAGCAATGCTTCGTGGCTATCCATGCCAAACACATAGCCTGTCTATTCAAAAGACTCAATAACAATGGACTCTTTTTGTTCTATGGCACCCACCCAATCGCCACATGTCAGGCACATGTGTCCCACATTGCGCTTGGAGAGAACAAGGATACCGGTGAATTTCATACTAAATGAAGGTAGTATTACTCCATTAGGCACAGGATATTGTTGAGCTGAAACCCTCCAACGCATTTGGCACCAGGCTGTGACATGCCAGTGCGCTGCATACGCTCATCGCAACGGGCGGCCGGCGCCTACTGAGGAGAGCGGAATGGCGACAAGTCTCCTCAGAAGCGCGGGCAGACTTCCGCCCTCTCGCCAGGAATGCTTTGCAGGTTGAGTCTCCCGTGGTGTGTTTGACAGCTGATGCACGTTTCGCTGAGCACAGTGCAGATCCCCATTACGATATATTGGAAGCCATCGGCAGCTTTCAGCACTACAATCCCTCTCCGTGTCCAAAGCTCCTCTGTAGCGTCTTAACAGTTTGTGGTGAATGGTGCAAATTGTACGTTTGTTTGCAATTGTAGGTGTTTCGATCCGTGGAGCAGTCAGGCTAGTTCCTTCGTTTCCATGCTCCAGTGGCGCGAGGTGGTTCTATCCCCTGATTCCAAATAGCGCCAGGGTAAAAGGTAAGAGAAATCTCATCGGAAAGGGGAACGAATCATTGGTGGATGGCATTGGACATGCGGTGGGATACTGGCCTGGTTTGCTGAGGCAAAAAGAATGGAGCTCTCTTACATGGCAGCCAGGGTTACGCAGATGAGCAATGAGCCCAGCATTGCGCAACGGCAATTCAAAGTGCTTCGCCTTGTGCCATTCTGGCACATGTTGTGCTGTCTTTTGCAGGATTGGGAGCCAGGAGAACTTTATGTGCAGCATCTTCCAATGGCTATGACTTTGACTTATTCACCATTGGTGGTGGGAGCGGAGGTGTTCGAGCGTCACGGCAGTCTGCAGACAGAGGTGGGGACAGAATGCAGCTCATACAGAGTGATGAATTCTTGGGGACGTAATGTATTTTTTTTGCCACCACATGCAAGTTGTGGAACTGGTACACTAGTCATCAAGGCCAGAAGCACACTCTGGTCTCTGTGCTCAAGTGATACATATTTATCAGAAACGTGCCCACATCGCATACTTCCTGACTGCACTGTGGCAACAATGCTGAACATCAAATTTGTCTGGGAAGCTGAAAGGAAATGCATATTATGCTTTTGGTACCCCTCATGCCCAAGAATGTGTACTTGACAGACATGAGTATTTGCAACTCTTGGCCCAAACTCATGGACAGCATAACGAGCTTGTAGATCATCTACTTGGATCCTCTCTGCCACATGTCAGCAATGTTTGGCCAATAGGAGCCATTCTGCTGGCCAACACAGACTTGGTACAAAGACGAGTTTCAGGTGCATCATGCAAATACAAGTATCCGACATCCAAATGTGAGGCGCTTCGTTGAAGCAAGATATGGATGTGAGACAGGATGTATTGAATTGGCAGTGTCTGTTATGAATGCACAGGTGCCAAGGTGGCATTGTGTGAGCTTCCCTATGGTTACAAAGCATCTGACAGTGTTGGGGGTCTTGGCGGGACATGCGTACTGAGGGGTTGTGTTCCCAAAAAGCTGATGGTGTATGCATCTGAGTTCGCTGAGGGATTCCGAGACAGTGCCGGTTTTGGGTGAGTACCTGGGTGGCAACAATCTGGGTGATTGGCCTCCAGCAACTGTTGCAGATGAGGAGGTCGAGCTTACCTGATGTGGGCCCAAGCAGGGATGCAAAATGTGCTGTTGGATGGGCAACCCCATGCTGCTTGTCAGACCTGATGCGAGCACTTGCCCTTGACAACCTGGTTTCGACATTGTCGCATGGCCCACTGGAGTAAGTGGGCTGTGGATTTGCATAGCAGCAACAAGTATGCACAGTTCCATCCATCACAACTGCTGCAATTCACGAGGAAACCTTCACTGTGCAAATATGGCCTATGCAAGGATTGACAGCACACCTTCATGTCCAAACTCAAGTCAGGGTTGCTGATATCAATAGCAAGAGAGGAATGCTACAGTGACTGATTGTGTCAAGGAAATGCTAGGAACAGGAATGCTCAAGTACCAATGAAGTATTGAGAACTTCGATGGGTTGACCACACCAGCTTGTTCAAGAAGCCCTCATGGAAATTTCTGCCCGTATGTGCTCAAGCCTTCATAGTATAGCTGCCTGGTTTCAGAATCTGGTGGCATGGCAGCCCACCCTATCTGTGTCTGTTTGCAGGTGGGAGGTGGATGGATGGCCAAAACACAACTGGGACATGTTACTGCAGAATAAACGCCAAGAACTGGATCGGCTGAATTCTGTTTACAGCAAACTACTTGATGGCTCTGGAGTACAATTTATGGAGGGACGAGGGACTGTTGTGGATCCCAATACCGTTGAAGTCAATGGCACGAGGTACACGGTAGGCAGCGCCACAGGATGACAACTGCATTGCCTATGGACAGGATAGGCACACAAACCTTCAAGTGCATTCCAGCACCAGACGATTAGTGCTGCGCCTTGCAGTGGAGACATTGCTGCTTTGATGGTGTTGGCAACTTGGTATGTCCAATGTACAGAGAGTGATTGGGATGGTGTCCTGTTCATTCCAGAATCCTAGCCAGTCTGTCAGTGGATCATGTATCCTGCCATGTAACACTGTTGGACCTCATTGCCCATTATTGATTACTGCTCATCAGATACTTCTGAAATAAGCCACCATTGTGGCATTTAAACAAAGCAATTTCACCATCATGTGCTTGGCATCTGCCCATAGCATTGTTTCAAGTACACTAATTGACAGATCACTTGTGTGCCATTTCCTAGACAAGGCACATTCTGATCTCTACAGGGGGACGTGCAACAAAGCTGGACATTCCTGGGGCAGAGCATGCCATCATCAGTGACGATGCGCTTGAGTTGGACAAGTTGCCTAAAAGAATCGTCATCATTGGTGCTGGGTACATTGCTGTGGAGTTTGCAGGAATATTCAACAGCTTTGGCAGTGACACACACTTGGTGTATCGGGCAGACCGCCCTCTCAGGGGATTCGATGAAGAGGTATTGTAGGCTTCTCAATTTTGGTCCTGCTGCTATGGCTTCACAAAATGGTTTGCCCTGATGTCGTTGCACTGTACTCATCCACAAAATAGTACGTATGGTGCCATCACACCCAAATGAGGCACTGCAGCAGACTGTTCACAAAGCTCTTGGAGCCGGTGCCTGTCATCGTGAGCAAAGTATAGCAAATATTCCCAGAAGTCGATTTGCTGTTGTGCCTATTGAATCGATTGGCTGTTGTGCCAGGCCCGAAATTTCATAACAGAGCAGTATGAGGTTGAGGGCGTGCACCTTCATGCGAATTCAACACCTGTTGACATCGTGAAAGATTCGGAAGGAACGTTTTCAGTGCAGCTGAAAGATTCAAATGGTGACCTGTCAACGATTGAGCAGGCAGATACAGTCTTTATGGCCACGGGACGAGCCCCGAACACGAAAAATTTGGGACTGGCAGAAGCTGGAGTTGAATTGAGTAAGCTACCGGAAGGTTCTTTTGCAAGTTTGTAATGCTGTTGACAGCATTCTGTTGTTGTTTTCAGTTACGAAAGCCTGCAGCATGAATTGTTTGCATATGTAGCACTGCACGCTTTCCCAGGAGGTCGTTATGTGGACAAAACCATGAGAATAGTGTGGATTGTGCCAAAGTAGACGTCTGTTATGTCAAAGTGCAACAAGTGTTTGCAACATTTCACAAAATTGGCCAAACATGCTTCGTCTGGTGCGTGACTGCCACAATCGAACACACACCGCTTGAAGATGTTGGTGGACAGGCAGTGTGCTGTATTGTTAAGTGCAGTACCCACAAGCGGTGGATGCTTTTGCTGGCTCCTGGTGTGCAAGATGTTTATTCAGCGCAAACAGAAATGGTTTCTATGCACAACCACAAGCCAGAATATAGCAAGGAATGTAGATACAAAACCAGCAGCTTCCATGCAAGGGCCGCTTTGGCGAGGAACACCAACTCACAGAGGGATTGCAACAGAAGCATTATAATTGTGCACCATGGAATTTTGAAGTTGATCATGTGGTCACCTTCCCTGGGTATCACCATTGTCTACAGTCCATGGCAGGGCTTCAAAGAGAGAGAGAGCGTGGAAGTGCCATCAGGTGCAGTTGACAACATTGACAGTTTGTTACATCCAGATTAAAAATTACAGTGTCCAGTCCCAGGAACTGTTCATCCCTGCACCATCGCGTGTCAAGGTGTGCTGTTGTTGCTGGCAGCAGAATTCGGACGTTTGTGCTTCTGCCAATGAGAGTCAGGCAGCACGATCGAAGTGCTTGCTGTCTTTGCCAGACTTCATTGTGCTGATTGGCATGGTGCACTGTGCTTGCAGGTCGCAAGGGAGCTGTGGTTGTGGACGAATACTCTCAGAGCACCGTTCCCAGCATTTGGGCCATTGGCGACGTCACTGATAGGATCGCCTTGACGCCTGTTGCGATCATGGAAGGCATGGCTTTAGCAAAAACATTGTTTGGTGATGAAAAGACAAAGCCAGATCATCTCAACGTGGCTAGTGCTGTGTTTTCACAGCCACCATTGGCAACTGTGGTAAGTGGATGAAGCAACACACATCGTGTGCTAACAAAGAAGTTCAAAGATAAAGACATGAACTGGGTTGTCCCAAAATCAACTGGAGCGGATGGCTGGCAGCTGCAGCCACAGTTCACAGCTCTTATCCACAGCAATAGCCACTGCATGGGATCAAGGGCTAATGCGTTTAGAGGACTGTGCAGAATCGGAAAAATGGCCTTAGTTTGAAGGCGGATAGTTTCGTATTCCTATCTGCAGGCCAGTGATTCATGCATTATTGGTGCTTTCTGCAGTGAGAGTTGATACACAAACTGGCGCATTGAAGCTGGTGAATTGATCTTGCATCATTAGGTTGATTTGTTCTCTACAGCTTGCTTTCGAGTTCCTTACCTGGTAGTGTAAGACAATGCAAACCGTTGTGCAACTTCGCTGGTGCAGAGCAGGATGCCAGTGTTTCGGCTACATTGGGTGTGATTTCTATAACCCTTTCATCTATGCTCTCGGATATGTTGGATGGCTGGTGGCCTGATATCATGTCTTAGGATATTACTTTCATGGTCAGGGAATGACAGAGGACAAAGCGGCACAGGAACTGGGAGATGTGGACATTTACACCTCAGTCTTTCGCCCACTGAAAAACACAATATCAAACAACCCTGGGAAATCCTTCATGAAGCTCGTGGTGGATGCGAAAACTGACAGGGTTGTCGGGGTGCACATGGCCGGAGCAGACTGCGCTGAGATCATGCAGGTACGGACATGCCCCATGTACCTCTTTGCACAGTTTGAGTTCAGTGGGGGGATTTGCATGGGATGCAGTCATGGAAGCAGAAGTGGTTGCTGTGGACGTCCTGCCACTGCTGTTGAGATTGGTGCCATACTGGCTGGGCACTGGTGCGCCTTGCCAGTTATGCGACATTGTGGGATGCACATAGGATAGTGTGGAGGCTCTCAAAATAGTGCCCTCAGCATCCCCGACGCCAGCCCCGATGCTTAACGTGGGGCCCACACTGTCCTCCATGATCTATGGTATGTAGCACTGGCGTCACCGATCGTGCAGTGGCATCGGGCTTGTAGGTGCCATTGACACAATGCTAGTCGCCTGCCGAGTGGATGGGTGGACAGAACTGTTCCCGCTTAAGGTCACAGTACATCCATTTGATTCCATGTAGTGCAGACTAGATTGCTCTTGTGTGGAGATTGCCACACAAAGGGATTGCGACATGTAAGGAAATAGCCTATCAACACACTGTTGCATTCCTGCTGCGGATCGTACACAAGCTTCAGCCTTGGCTCTAACTTGGCGTGAGCGTCGCTCGTGTTAAGTGTCCGGTGCCATTGCTCATCTTAATTTGCTTCTGCTGCCCCCCGCCATGATACTGAGCAGCTGGTCGTCTTTCCGTCTGATGCAGCTGAGAATGATTTGGCTGGCATGGTGTTCCAGGGAATGGCTGTTGCGGTGAAGTTGGGTGTAACGAAGCGCCAGCTTGACAGCGTTGTTGGTATTCATCCAACCGCAGCTGAGGAGTTCGTCACCATGCGAAATGTTACAAGAAAAATTCGTGCTTGAAAGCCTGGATTCATCACCCATCAATGACGGATTTCACTTTTGGAATGTGATTGACATCGTGCAGTGGCGGCATTGTCAAATGTTTGTTGCTCGAGGCATCGTCTTTGTTTGGTGTGGCCAACGTCTCAATTATCCAGGAACCGATGTTGTACTTTGAAAGCTGCCAGGCCGATTCAGTGACCTGTTTATCGTAGGTTGGTAACAGGGACAAGTAGAGTCATGCAGTGCACACTGTAGTGCAGGGATGACGCATCAATGGGGCGATGTAGTGGCCAACCGATGGTGGTCGCATCGAGGCCCTAAACTGCTCAACTGTTGTGAGGACGACAACGATGGCGCTGGGATGCGCACAACTCTGCTATGGCTTGTTTGGCCCTGTGTTGTAAAGCAGGACAATAGTTTGCAATGACGGCATGGAAGTGGGAGCATCCAGATTTGCAGTGAAGACACCATCGTTCCATGATGTGCTTCAAAATGACGTTAACTGGCCGAGACAGAATCGCTACCCATCTATGAATCAATGCAATTCTCGAAACGTTACATACTACCTCCGTTTCGAAAGTCTTATTCAATCTTCAATTCTTGCTGCTGCTTTGCAGGAATGACTCAATGAGTCAATACATCTGCCAGGTCGATGTCTTGCACTGGCAGAGGTGTCTCTTTGCCTTCAGCCACATCCTCCATGCCGTTTTCATCGACACCCCAGATTCTGTTGCGAACTCCAATTCTTTCGCTTGCGTACACTGTTCGGATTCGAGCTGCATCTTCAATCCACACTAAACCACCAAGTCAGAATTCTCTCCTAATGACAGATCGGCTCGATCCACCTCCATTGAAGGGCAAGACAAGCTCGCCATGCCCACTCACTGCCCTGACAAAAGGCAACAACTCTTTTCAACTCCTGTAGACACATTGCAAGAAAACAGAGCTGTTTGTCATGTTTTGACCTGTGGTCGCGTGAATTGCAAATCAGCCAAGACTTCTGCAGCAGGGTAGCATCAAAGCAAAGAGGTAACCAGCAGCTCCCTGTTTGGCTGGAGAAAATAATGCCAGTGATGCATACCTTTAAAGTCCAAAGCATGACACCAATGGAATCCAGATCCACCAATTCGTAATTACGCAGAAGCACTTGCCTCTGATAACACATGGATGGAAGCGTCTTCCCAAAAGGATATCGAAGATGAAACCAGAAAGTTGTTTTGCATTTCCACTGCCTCTGTCTCAAAAGTCTTGGCCGTAGTCGGTACATCATGGGTTTGTACTCATGTTTCAATTTATTTTGTCTTGTGTGTGCTTCTGGATGAGCTGGTGGTCGTTCGGGTAGAGCAAAGAGTAGTACCCGTAATGCAAACGGGTTGATGGCAGGTAATAAGGTGAAAGATTTGAAGAGCTGCTGAAATCATGGTGAAATGTTTGTGGAGTATGTACCTATGACATAGCATGCACAGCATGTTATTAGCAAGTATTTGATTGCACTTGGCTCAAAGTTTGTTGTATGGAAGGGCAAGGACATAGGCTGTGATGTCGAGGCGCGTGAATGTATCCCTAGATCTCTTCTCCTCTTGCTTGATACCCTGGCTGGTTGCAAGAAAATTTCCCACAAACAGCTGACTTGTAGAAGATACTGCCATCGGCCGTGCCAAACGGGGCGAATTCGAATAGTTCTCCCAGCGGCAAACGAATCGAAACAGGCAAACCCTCATGAGAGCATGTGGCGAATCCGCTGCTGGGTGGAAGCCGTCCCAAGCGACAATGTCAATCAGGCTTGGCAAAGCCTGTTGTGCTGCATGTTGGAGAGCGAATCCCATCGCTGCGGATCTCAAGGAACGGGCATCCTAAACATGCATGGTCGAAGCTGACCGAGGTTGGCCAAGGCCAGAAGGCACGCCCGTGAACCTTGGAGAGCGTGGTCAAGATCTCGATTGAGGCTTGTGAGGCGCTGCAAAGTGAGGGCTGCGAAACAGACTGTTTCAGACAGTGCTTTGCCCACGATTGCTGAGCGACCAATCCTCCACATCTTCTCTCTGCACCGGTCCAATTGCCACCATGACGGCTGTCTCATGGGCAATGCAACAACAGCATGGAGGCAATACTTGCCCACTGTGTGAGGTGATTGGTTTTTCGTGCCCACTGTGTGAGGTGATTGGTTTGTTCGTGGCGAAAGTATCCTCCACGTCGGTCGCTAATGTTCATTGGCGCAGTCTCAAATACACGCCGTGGGGCATGGTCGTGAGTCTCCACTTCGGGCCTGTGAAGTTGATTGGTTTGGGCTGAGATGGACTATCCTTCCGTGGGCTACGGCCACCATCCCCCGGCTGCTTCCGGGCGTGAGTACGTACCGCTGTGTCTCGTGCTCGAACAGCATCCGTGGTGAGAGATTTCGTGCCAAGTTTGTTCTGGTTTCGATGTTGCCGCAGAAGAAAACAACAAATCGACGAACTGCTTGCTCGAGTGCCAGGTTGCCGCCCAGTCAAGGCCGACAGGTGAGGAATTCCGCATTTGACACGAGCCGCTTCGTCACCTGGTGGTCGCCGGCTTCCAAGAGGTCTCATCAGATTGGGATGGTCGAGGGCAACTGTGAACGATGCTGAGACGGGGATGTGGTGACAGGACGCTGCTGGAGACCTCTATGCAGACGCGCGAAGGCAAACTGTTGACTGTACAAATAAGCCTTCCTCATCGATTCCCAGATGTAGGTGCAACATAACTGTACCAGGCGTGGACGATCGTTGTTCTTGATTTGGTTTCTGCATCGCCATGACAACGGTTGGACTCTGAGGCTTGATGTTATGCTGTGTCTCCAGGAGCCACCTGTTCTAACTGTGAACCAACCAACTCGACATCCTGCAATTGACAACAATGGTCGAATAAAACTGCAAGCGCTGCAGTATTGGCATCCTGGCCACAGACTGGCTGTGGTTGTTCAGGACGCACAGAGTGCACTGTTTGGCCAGGCTGGTCCAGCTGGTGCGAGCCATGAAACACATGTCATGGTCGCAGGCTTGCTTGCTGTTACAATACCTTGGTTGTTCTTGTGTTTGTTTGTTTGTTTATTTGTTTGTTTATTGTTTGTTTCTTCCTTACATGGATGCATCGACATTATGTCATGGCATCGATCAATGTAGTGTACGAAGCCAGTGTGCAAGGGGCATGTCCAGGCCCAGAAACACACCTCTAAAGGCAGTCACCGCAGCCACCGAGCCCCATGCAAATCCCCCACAACAACAAAGAATAATATCTGTAGGCCAGAGATCAGAGTAGTATTCTATTCCTTGTTCACCTCCCTTGCCCGGATTCAGTCGCTCACGGAGCTAAGAAAAGCTCCCAACGACCGCAGTGGTTTCAAACCAGATTGGGCAGATTCCGCAAATTAATTCCTTCCGAATTCAGCCACTTCCCATGCAAATTGGTCACGCCGTTTGCAATCCACAAGAAAATGTTCTTGATGATATTGTTCCTCGCATAATACACAATCGACCAGCTCATCATCATCTTGCAGTAGTTTGAAACTGCCAAGGTGCCAGTGGCCGGTCATAAAACGTGCCACCCAAACATGCTCAGAACGTTGGCAATGATAAGCGTCGTCAGGACTCCAGGGCACTGCAGAATCTGGTAGAAGGTCATGTAAAAGGCATCCAAAGTCGGCACTGTGCCATTGACACTTCCATTCGTCGAGCAGGGCCTCATCCACACTTATCAGAACTTGTCGTTGCCGCGCGCGAGTAGTTGTTTTTGTGTCAATGTTTGTACTTGCCTGGAGTGTTGAGGTCAATGGCCTAAAACTCTCTGGTGTTGCAGTGACAGTGTTTGGTCTCGAAATGGCTACTCTAGGCACAGTTTTTTATTATGGCGATTGTGCAAGAAGTTCTATGCTTATGGGCTGGGTTGTGAGCGCGATCGTTTGAATTCTGAGCAGATTTCCCATGTGCATGTAATCGAAATTCAGCAACGCTTTATGTTCAGATGTTTACTTTTGCCTTTGTGCCCAGGCTCTACTGGCCGGTTCCCCCCTGTCAACAGCAAGCCAGGAACACCACACATCAATGCAGCACTGCAGAATCTCAGTGACGAGGACCTGTGGTTGTGCATCATTGATGCAGCAAAGTATCAACAATTTGCGAACAGAGTGCTCCAGTCCTCACAGGTGAGTGGAGTGCACCTTGCCCTTCTGTTTGCATCATGTGGTCCAATTTGCCCTGTGCAGCACGCAGCATGCAGCATGAAAGTGTGCAAACATCTTAAAGAAGTCTGGGATCTTGATGGCAGTGGAAAGTTGGTGGAAGCAATACTCGTGCAGCCCAAGTTGCTTTTGTTTGCCATTGCCGATGCTGTGATTGTAGCTGTTCCTATGAATGCAATCATTCCTTGTATTGCAAATGTTAGCACATGACAGGACAAGCAAAGACCTTGCACCTTGAGTAGTGTGTGCAGTTGTTAGTGACAAAACACTCATCCGGAAATCAGGATGGTGTTACAGCAACGTCGATGGGCCTTGCTGCAGTGAGTGTTTTGATGCACATTCTGTAAATGTTGCTGCACGTTTTGCACATATATTCCATCTGCAATCTTTCCCCTGATATCAATGACAATAGCAGGGCATGAATTCTAACACCCTATCAATCGCCAAGTGCTTCAAAGTCATGGCCGTTGTTGCTGATGAGGTGTTGAAGCAGGGGCATTGCAGCAACCAACATTGACACGAAGCGCATGAACAAACTGGTGGCAGCAAGCACCATCAGCGTTGTTGTAATTCCATCCCGATTTCTGGATGCTGCTCTTGCACCTTCAAGGTGATGACCCACTTGGATTGTATCTCCTTTTTTTTGTTTTGTGAACATGACTGTGGCTTGGTAAAATTGGTAGCACTTAGACAGCACCACTCAGTGTCACCTGCCATGCCCAGATATTTGGTGCCGATTGACGCCGCTTTGGTGATTGGTGTAGGCGCCCTGTGTAAATGAAGATCTGAGGAAGAGCAATATAGACGTTGCTCAAAGCAACTTAGAGCGAGAAAACGAGATTCGTGAAATTGGAAATCATATTGCCATCATAAAATCTTCAGAGTATGCCGATGCACGAGGACTGTATGAGGAACACGTGCAGAGACAGCAGGAAATAGTGGGCCATTTGAGTATTCGTGTTCTGAGAGAACAGCTCCAGCATTCAGCAAAAAAGGTGGGTCTCGGCAGTGGTGTTGCATCATGTGCCATTGTGCAATGAATGCGTGCATATCCTGGTAATCGAAAAACGAACTTTGTCTGAAATGTGCCATTGCTCCTGCCCCTGCCAATGCGATCAGTGGCGTGTATGTGTGTTTGCACCTGTGCATTGTCAATCGCACAACTCAGCGTTAGGGTATGCCTGGCGCTGACGGGCACTGGCTGTGCGTTGCCGCTGTCCGTCGTGTTGCTTGTCGAATCAAAGTGAATTAAATACGAAATTGTGCAGGTTGATGAAGAATCCGAAGAGCTCAGCAGAAGATTTCTTTCCGGGGAGATGCCTGTCGAGGCGTTCACAGATGAGTTTTGCAAGCTGCGGATGACATATTACACGAGGGAGCTCAAATCCCAGGCGGCAGGACAATTGCAATGATGAGATGTACTTTTGCACTTGATGCTAAATGCAACAGCTGTGATAGTCAGAGCAGTCAAGCGGAGTGGGTATCTCTTGGATGCAGACTATCAAGAGCAGGCTTGCCCTGGCTGTGGGCCTGCTGATGGATGCACATGGTGCTGCCCGAAATGCACTTGGTGCAGTGCCAGATTGAAGGCTCTCAGTCTGGGACAAGTGGTGCGTCATAAGCATGCGAGCGCTCACGTCTTTTGGGGCCGGACCATTGCACATGCCATGAATCCTACAAATTGGAAAGTCTTCTTTTCACCTCATCTTTCAGTCGCCCTGCTCATTTTCCTACTTGTGGATTCGGCGGGTTTCCTGATGTTCTGCTTCTTCTGTAGAAGAAAATACGGGACAACTCGCTGTGCCTCCAGAAGTTGTGCTTTTGCTTTTTGATGGCAAGCTGGGTCCGTCGGTTGGTTTGCATTTCCATACCCCGCACACCCCAGGGGGAGACACCATCCCCCTGCCATCCCAGGATTCGAGCCATGGGCTGTTCTTGTGGTCTTTGTCGGCAGCAGAGAGCAAACCACACCAAAATACGTTGCTCGAAAGTTACCAATAGGCTCGTTGAGTCTGAGCGCAGTGCTGCCGGATTTGTGCTCTGATCCGCCCGACTCTGTGTTTGTTCACCTGTCATTGGCCCCACCGTTGATGGCGTCGTGAAGTCCGAGAGGCACACTTGACAACCAGAATCAGCCAGAGACAATGCAGCTTTAGTAAATCCCAACATGACAGCCGGTCTGTGCTAAAACAATGTTAAGCTGAACTTCATCTCACAAACAAATCTTTGGTTGTTGGGAGCCCTGCTGTTCATCCCTGCAGTGGGAATGCTCAGTTTCTGAGAGGTCTGTGGGCCTTTGCGAATCTGCCGCGCTGCAGAAGTCACGGCGGCACACTCCAGGGCCTGGACGTTAAGGCTCAACAGCCGATAAACCCCTGAAATTCAGTGTTTCTCCCCGAATTGTGTGCAGCTGTGCGGCCGTGAGAGCGGGCATGACCAAGACCATCGACCTTCGAGCTTCCAACCCCAACTCCCCAGCGGGAACGTGTTCCCATCCGTGTGTGCCGATGCTTGTGTACCTTGGCGTGATTATCAATTTTGACTCATGCGTGGTGGGTCGGACATGGAGTCGGCCTCTTCAACGCAAGAGCGTGACACAATGGAAATTGGGACCGCGGTGGGTTCCACCAGTTGCCTGCTGAATCCCTGGACTGGAGTGCGCCTCCATATCCGCAGTGAGGGATGCTGGGAAGCCGATCAAGGGGCAACGTCGCCCAAGGACGCTGTCCATGTCCGAAGCACTCCCAACCGTCCGCAACCGACGAAGGCCACGCGAAGCTGCCGACCATGGCTCCGCACATTAGGAATGACCCATAACGTCACCCTCGCCACCTGGAAAGATGTTGGGTTGTGTGCTGGTGCGGTGGGTGTTTGACCCAGAACGTGCAGCAATAAATCCCCTAGTAGTGTCAACGGCATCGGCAGGACTCGGGGAGGTGTTGCCAGCAGCCAGCAGCCGGAGACGTGCAAGTCCGCAGGCAGTGGAGTGGCAGCGGGAGGCGGCGAGCTATTTCGGCAAGCAGAGGTTCACACGCGCCACTTTTAGCCCGTTCCCGGTGATCTTGAGGTTGCAGCAAGCGCAAGTATGTACAGAAGAAGTCACCCCTCTGATCAAGGTTGCTGCGGCAATAGCTGCCTCCTGGACATGTTTCCTTTCCGCACACTTGCAAAATTACAGATGAGGTCTGCATCGGCACCTACACCTCCGGCAAGTTGTGGTAGAGCAGTCAAATACCCTGGGCTTTCAGTGGACTCGAGTTTGCCACAATTTTAAAGCATCCATAACTTGAGCGGCAATGCAGCAGCACAAATGGGCTTTGCCGCCCTAAGTGTGCAGCAGTGCACAATTGTTTGTGAGAGGTGGCGGTTTTGCTTCTCCTACGTCAACGCTTGTGGTGCCCAACAATCTTGAGTTCTGCAGCCGGAGAATGTGTAATTTTCGAGGTTGAAAACAGAAGACGGGGACACAGTGCGCGTGCAGAGTTTAAATCTGCCAGCAGAACAATCGACTTCCAGAAAAGCGCCTGCCGCAGCCTCTCCAACTTCGAAGGGTCAAACAACGCACCCATGCGAATGCCAGCCACGATTGCTGATGAAGGTCAACAGGATAATGATGCCGAGACGGCCCGCTAGCGTGCTCATTCTTTTGTTGAGCGCACAGCTCCGGCGCAGATGGTTAGTCTTTGGTTGTCCTTTCCTTTCGCCTGTCTTTTGTGTCGGTAGTCGTCGGAGACGTCGACACCGTCATACTTTGCACGCCGATGATGGTTACCCGCGCCTCTAGTGGCACGTTACACTTGCAAGCAGTCAGCAGAGATTCGCTGGGCAAGCAACCTCATGGCATTCTTGTGTTTTGGCTTCGCTATTGGTTGGCGCTGCTTCCATCACCAACAGCAATTGAGGATAAAACCTGCTAGGCGAGGGTGAGGATCTGTTTGCAATGGTGTCAGACTGCACCTGAATCACTGTATACCTTGCGAGGTGTTCCACACGACTGTCTGACTTATCCAGTATGCACGAGAGTCACTGAGTAGCGACCCCCACATAGCAAATTACCCCTCCAGCTGGGCACCATGGCATGGTGGTGCTGCTCTATGTTTCGTACCTTCTGTAAGCATGGAGTAACGGCAGGGAAACGGATTCAAGACGCCTACACAGGGAAACGGTATCAGGCCCACCTACAGCTTTCCACCTGCGAAGAGTGCATTTCCAAAGCCCAGATCAGGAATAGCCAGAATGTGTTGTCGACTAAATGAAATGCATACCATACATTCAGGAGAAACATTGTGATGCGCATACTTAGGCACACAGCGCAGTACACAACATTGTTTTGAAGACTCGCATCGTGGCACAACAGTTTCTAGAGCGCTAAGCCATGCCCAAACCCTTCAATGCAGAGTGCCCCGGCTGTGGGAAAACAAAACGGGTGCCTTTCACCGAAGTATATCCAAACAACAACAGTATGTTGCCAAGATGCGCACGTACCAACTGCTAAACGTAACAACACAAGTCTTGATTCCGCAGGACAGCAAATTGTTTTGTTCAGTCACCTTCGAATGAGCGACCTTTTCTTCATGGCCAGGCAGTGAGCAGAAGTAAATCTTGCGTCCACTCTGAAAAGAAAGGCTCTGCGGCCCCACCATCATGCACATCAGGTAATTCCAACCACGTATTCGAGTCGCGGATTAAATCAGTACGACATCCGTCGCGCCAACCAGATGCCCACACTCGTTGGCTGGAGGTAAATTTGCCATACCAGCGCAAAAGCACCCAGATGGACCCCACTATCTCTCCAATCCAGGATCCATGCAGAGCACATTGAGTCTGAAGCCCTGTACCGAGCCAATAAAGTCATCCACGCTGACTGTTCGCCCTGATTCCGACCCGGGGTAGTCTTGGGGTTCTTCGTCCACTGCATACAGTTGGTACACGCCAGGGCATGCACAGCACACAGAAAACCTGCAAAGTGCCCACAGCAATGTCCACCAATTAATACCACCACCCGTGACACACAATCGGGAAAGGTCATGCACCATATCCACACAAGTACGCCCTCGCATCTGTCTGCATACAGCCTTGCAGCCCCGACCAGCCGCGACCAGTAGCTTTGTAGTGTGCTGTGAAGCGCATAACACGAGAAGAGCGGTCCAAGTTGAAAGGCACCTTGATGCAATGTACAGACAGCGACTGGCAGGACGGGGGGGGATCTGCACGCTTACAGACTGCAGTCCTGTCCTCATGCTCAGAATCAGAATCAGTTGTCGGATGCTGAGGATGAATCGCTGGGCCAATTCACGACAAGTGTGATGCACGGTGATAGCTGCACAGTGATGGCACACGGTCTTGCGCAATGTGCAAACAAAACATCACACCAATGATCTGCGCAACTGTCCCTGACACCATTGAGCACCTTCAATCGTCCCAGCTGCCCGCCTTCGGCAGCTGACAGTAGCCTGAATACAACATTTCTGACTCAAGTACTTGGAGCCGCAGTGGCCACTTGGACTGGTCAAAATTTGGATTCCAAACCTATTGGTGAACCACAAGATATGTCCAAACACATTGGCACATTCTGCAAGAGGCAAGTTTGGTAGCCAGACAGCACATGGACTGCCTCTGATGTTGATGGTACATTGAACCGCAGGCCGTGCTCACCTGTGAACGACCCTTGTGTTGGCAGGCACCTCCACTGGCACCTTCCTCATTCTTCCCACCAAAACGACACCTGGGTGCACAAGCTCACTGGCTGTTCCAAAAGCAACTGGCCCCTGCGTTTCCCCCAACATCCATAGGCAATCACAACAAACAGATACCACCAATTGTCGGGTCCTGCTGCTTCGATTGGCAACAACGATGTCACAGTCCAACAGCTCCCCCATTCCAACCTGTGTTCCCCACACCTCCCCATTCGGCCCTGTTGGCCCCAAGTCAACATCAGCGGCCTGATCTATGTCTACTTCTAGGTTCATTTCCTCCCCATCAGCACTCTCTCGTGTGTCCACAGCTGGTGAACGGCCCCAACCAGGAAACAGCTCCAGAGGTGTGGCTCCCCTCCATGTCATCAGCCCTTCGTTTGGCACCACTTTCCGCAGGTCTGCAAACCTCAAAGGAGACCGCCCTGCCGATGGGCAGATGTAGAGGAACACAGAGCATTCGGCAATCAAAGCCAGCACTTGAGTTGTGAGGGCACGCAGCACAGAATCCACACGCAGTGGAAGCAGTCCATTAAGCTCGCCCAGTGGGGTCAGGTCCGCGAACTCAGCTGTATCAGTTTGGCCACTAGCCGGCGTCTTTGTCTCTACCTCTGGTTCATCTGAAGTTGGCAGTGCTGTTGCTGCAGACCACAGCACTGCGACAGTGGAGCAAATCCAGTCAGCCACTGGTTGGTTCACTGTCTGTGGAGGTCCACGTCCAGGGGGGGGAGCCTGCTTCTGCTCTTGGCCAGAGAAGCTTGCAAGAAGTTCTGCTGGGAAGGAAGGCAGAGTGTGTTGCAATCGGACTGACTGGCTCGGCCCGACCGACAAAGGTGACATCAAAGCCTGAACACAACACCAACAATGCCAGGTTTCAGAGTTGAGGTGGCAGACTCCTGCAGGGCACAAGGCTTCACTCACGAGAAACCAAAGGTTACGTACAGCCCCCCAAAAAAGGATGGCACATGCTTGACAGCCTGGACACCAGCGCTCTGACCAAGCTGTGAGTGAGCACTGTGACCAACCTGGCGCACAAGCACTGTGGCCACATTGTATTCATTCTACTTTGCGAACTTTCATCTGAAGCAGCTGCTGCTGCTGGTGCTGCTGCAGTGTGTAATCTCTCTCATAATGGCAAGCATAACCATGAACAACGTCCTTCATCCCTACCTTGTCCTTGTCCCCTTCAGTTCTTTCCTGTTGCGATTTTCCGAGACAAACATCAAATGCCCGATCGCCCCTGTTGGAAACCTCCAACTGCAGAACACACTGCGGCTGAAGTTCAGCGATGAGGAGTTGCTTTTCCACACGCTTTTCCCCTGTGCTCATGCTGCTTTGTGCACTGGGAGGTAGGTCACCATCAGTGGGTGGCCATCCCTGGGACGTGTCCTCCTTGCCTGCAGATACCTCTGACACACCAGACCTTTGCTGCAGCAAAACTGGTGGCCCAGTGATGGACTCCAGAGATGACATGCCAGCCTTGAGTGTGCCTACACTCCCGCCACTGGCAGCCTCCTCTCCTGTGTAGAATTAACAATCACATAACACTCAGTTGGCTACTACTTGGATTCCTGCACCACAAAACACCATGTCCTTATCATTGGCCAGGCAGTCGTCAAGTTGCATTGGCAGATCTGGCAGTAGCTACCCATCGCAACCTGATTGCTGAGTGCCCCTTCACAGCACAAGTAAGCAAAGGCAATGCCCGGCACAAGGAACATTGCAGCTGTATGCACTACTCCATCGATCACAAGCAAGCACATCAATATGGCACCACAAGGCCACACCATAGCAAATACCATACCATACCATGCCAACACCATAGCAGTTGCTGAATAATTTCCACGTTCACTGTACAATGCTGGACATGCGCTCACAGTGAATAGACATTCATCTGTGTCCCAACCAAGAATGCAACCACATGTACGTGGCCACCCTTGCATGTCACTAACTGCAGTCCTCAACTAAGGACAGCAATCTGAACAATGAGGGACAAAAACATAGTTCAGTTCCTGTGGATCAACGGCAACATCTACAAGCCACCAGGTTAGAAAATGAGTCAATCCATTTCACCAGCTCGCATCCAGATGTGTTCCAGGATGGGCACCTGAATATGTGGGGTCGTAGTGGCGACCAGCTGGGCCCCCTCTGTCAACAGCAGCAGGGACATACTGCTCCACTAATGACACTGAAACCACCCTCACAGCCGGCTCCACACAGAATGTGATAGGAATGCACAGTTCCCTTCCCACTAATTTCTGTCCATGGCTCTCTTCGGCAGCACTTCCACTGTACATAACCTTGATCTGAGTGCACACACACACACACACAAACCCAATGCTCTCAAATTTGCAGGTGGATCCAAGAATGAAACGGATCACAGTTCCAGTTGGCGCTTTTGCACTGGCCAGGGATGCAGCACCATAATGTTGAAACTCCCGAACACCCACTGGGGCGAATTCTCCACTGATCCTGTCGACAGCCCCGGAGTATCTGTTCGGTGAGTTCATTTGTGCTGCCTGTTTTGGATCAGTTCTTGTTGTCAGGCACACTTGTAGCACTCGAGAGTGGAAAAGGGGTCAAACAATCCTGCTAGAAGGGTGCGCTCCATTGTATGGCCCGTTATCTTGCTTGGAAAAACACAAACACAAACAATCAAATGCACTCAACAGGAGAGTTCACAAGTTTCAGCAGAGCAATGGAAACTCAACAATGGGTGTGCCTTCATGCAGGTCAGCACTATTGAAATCCAGGAGTCTCACGGAGGGAAAAATGAAGCTCATTCTGTACACAACCCCAGTCCAAAGTGACGTCATTTGAGACTCCACAATGCGGGAACTCTATTTACTTTGTATGTTTCCAAGTGCATTTGCGGGAACCTGGTTTACCTGAGTCTCAACCATGCTTGCTCGCTCTTGTGAGACTGAAAGTGGTTGGCCCACCTCAACAAGGACAGGGACTTTGACAACCTGATCTGGTGTTAGTGGCAGAGAAGACTGCATAACCCCCTCATCAACACGCAGCCGCACCCCTGGCTTCATTGCCCCTTTGCCGTCACCAGCTGCAGCGTTGTATGAGTCTTGCACAGCTATTCTCGCTGAAAGAACAGGCAGTTTTGAATGATTGCGCAGCTGTAGCACAAAAGTGAAGTGCTGGCCTTCATAGACAACCGTCTTCACTCGCCCATCTGAGTGTTGATTCCCACAAGGTGGAACGTCATGGACTTGTATTTGGGAGCCTGACTTGCCCACTCTGCTTATCGAAGCCTATAGAACAGAATGTCCATGAACAACCGTAGATTCAGCAAGACTACAATCAATCCTAATGTCAGCAAGATTAACAATTCCCCCTTGTGCGGCAAATTTGCCAACACCAGAGGCTAAGGAAAACGTGGGGAGGTAGGCTGTTGGTATGGTGTTCTCAGCGATGGTCATGAAAGGAACATTGGAATTATCTGTTTCAAATACATCTGTCCCATGCAAACCTCAGAGCGATTGTATTCACCTCTTAGTCTTAGTTAGTTAGGCACTGTGGGGTTAGCGTGCGTCAGTCACAATCGATACCCCACATCAGATAGATCAACTGGAGGTCCTGCTTGGCACAGTGGACGATTCTGGGGACCAACAAGGCAACGTGGGGTCTGGCGCAAGTACCAAGAGCAGTTGCCTACAGCCTGCTGCCCATTATGGATAGGCTGCCACTCGAAGTCTAGACTGCAGCCCAGGGCAGTGTTGGAAGCAATAGTGGCTGTGAGGCTGCACACGTGGAAGCTTGGCCATGTCGTTTGGGTTGGCTATTTGGATTTCACATTTCTGCCTTTGGGCTGTGTCTTGTCTTGTTTCAGCTTTAGTAGCCGCATCTTGCGGTGGTCAGGAGCCCAAGGCCCCTTTGCCACGCTGCTGTCTGTGGTTTCCCTCAGACTTGCGGAGATGCTGAAGCTCGGCAAGAGCAAGGAACGAAACTGAAGTTGAAGAATGTGCACAAGGAGATGCCTCCGTTGTGCAGCAACTGCCTGCAATCTTATGAACAGCAAATGAAAGCAAACAATGGTGTATCTTTGCAGTACTACATCGCCTTGCACATTCTTGCCAGGTAGAACAAGACCCACATCTTAGGAGCAGCCTCGTGCCTCCTGAATGTGTTGTAACATTCTTATACGGCCACAACAGCAATGGTAAACACATAGGATGCAACTACAAAATGCAGAGGTTTGCTAACTTTGGATTGCTCTGAAAAGGGAAGTTCAGTTCTCAATGAACCAGAGCAGCACCAGAATTTGTCAAATTTCTCACCTTAAGCAAAGGCATTGCCGGCAGCACCTCCACCGCTGCCACAATGTGCTGCTCTCCATCAACCTGATTTTCCACAGTTTGCAGGCCAGGGCCAAGTGGAACGTTTCGCAGTGTGGAAACAAAACGCTGCTGCCAAGTAACCCCAAAAACTGTCACGTTGCATCCAACAATGTGGAATGTGCCAGTCACCAGTGGGATCAATGCTAAGGTGACCCTGCAGATAAAGGAACAAAATAGTTGTAAAGCAGTATGATTGCCTTCGACAAGACAAAGCAGGGCCCTTGCACCTTGTAGGTAATGACAGGCAAGTAACATCCAAGGACTTGATAATGTCCCTTTATCTGCTCACCACCAGTGTAGTCAGACAGTGACACTTGATTGATGTCACAAGCCTGGTGAACAATAACAAACACAAGTGCACATTCCTGCACTGTACGAAACTACATGGCCAAGGCAGATTGCAATATAACGGGCACCTCCTGCAACTCCCAAGCCAACCTTGTTGGTTTTGTTCTCCCAGGTAGCACCACAGCAACAGGCACAGGTTGCGCAACTTTCACCGATGCTCCATTGCCTTCAGGGACTTCCATTGCTTCGGCACTCAGGCTGAGGCGATCCACCTTCAGCTGGATCGCGCAAGGATTGGCAATGTACACCTCCAGACTGCACTCTTCTCCAACAATCTGGTACCAAGCAGAGGCAAATCACTACCTGAATGGTAGGAAAACCAGGTGAGAACAGCAGCAAGAAGCAGCAGCAGTACATCTTGCATGGAAGCTATCTAGGCAGGACTTCGGGCACATACCCACTGCGGGACCTCCTCCTTCTGCGCTTGCTCCCGTTTACCAAAAGGATTGAAAATGAAAGGACCATTCCCTTCCACACCTTTGTCCGATGATTGCCAACTGGTCATAACTTTCGCAGCCACCAGTTCAACTGCAAGTGGAACAAAATTTCGAACCTGAGCAACAAAAGCAACATGCTCAGCAACCAATTCAGTGATCAGTGATCAAATTCCTGTATGCCACACTCTCACAACAGGCCAGGATCTCATCGTGTGCTCTGCAGGTGGTCAGATGATTAAGTCAAGACTAGTCCCATGGCAGGGGTGGACCACAAAATGGTGAGACATTTGACAATGGTCCCAAGGCTCAATAGAGCATCAGGAAATTTGACATTATGACGTTTGACATTATGAGCGTGCTTGTGCAATTGCAGCTCCCTATTGTTGTTGGTGTGCAGAACGAAAAGACGGAATTCGTTCATCACTTTAGTGCCAAAATGGGTCATTGCACGACCCCATTTGCCCCAGTCTGTGTTTCTGTCTGTTTGTGTCCAAAGCTCACACAGCAACAACTGGCAAGGCAATGCCATGCACACCTGGAAAAGAGGTGGGGGACCTGGGCCAGGTCGCCTTTTGGCTGCAGCATCCATGTGCTCAGCAGCATGCACCAATGCCTCCAGCAGCATGTGCTGGTGCTCCTGAGCAATAACAGTGTGATGTCCCCTGAGCCATACAACAGGTGTCTCCAGTCAATCATCTTGTACGAAAACAACGCTGGAGTAAATGACATGTTGCCGAGTTTAGCAATGTGGAAGGAACTGTTGTGTAACAACCAAAGGACCCCATATGCAATTGCTGGGGGTCAGGCTCAGAGCAGGCAAACACTCGATGATTCTCTTTTGCAAGAACCAGGGTCTACTGTTCTCTTTAGCTCTACACAACATTCACACCACACATCAGGTGGCCAGACTCTAAACTTGCATGCACATGGATTTCCACATTGCTCGCACTGCGCATGGGTTAACAGATGTCCATAGTTAGAGCCCTTGCTGTCAGGAGCACTCCGCATCTTGGCAGTGGTTCTGACCATACGCAATCGAACAGTGAAGGTATCTTGCATGCAGCCAATATCCTTGTGCACAACATATTGCCAAAAGAGTACTGTGCCACTTTGCCATACTGGGCAGTGCATATTACTGGATCAACACACACAGCAAATTGCCCAAAACTGTCTGTTTCACCCCCATTACACGGGATATGTGCTGTGCTGGTTTCTGTATCGAAAAGTTTGTCACCTGAATCCAAACTTTGAATTCAAACAATCCTTTTCATCAGGTGCACCTCAGGAGAGCAGCTGCTGCTTCCCAGACATAAACGAATTCTCCTGCCTTCGATGCCGCAGACAGCAATGCCTCTAGTGTTGCTTTGTGGAGACTGGCCCAGTGGCGATGGGGAAGCGCACACTTGCTCAGACTCCATTGCCCCGGCCTGCTTGACCTCATGTCCTGGTTTTCTGGGTCGCCTGGGGGCTCCAGGGACTAAGAGATTGAAACACAAAAGCAATTGGTATCTCTGGGAATCCTCGGGCAATTTTTCAGCTTGGAATAACACAGGAAATACCACATGGCGCGCAAAGAACCATGCAAAGGCCTTTGGTACTATTGCAGAAAAGACATGGACATGGGGAACACACAAAAGGCAGGCAAACAACAATGCCACAGGTGGAACTAGCCTGGCAACATTACAAGCATTGCCACTTTCAGTATGTGTGCTGAAGTGCAGAGCATACAGAGAATATGATGAACGAAACAGGATGAAACTCTTGTGACATGGCCTTGTAAACACCAAACCAAATTCAGCAGGATCCCAGCACAGACCAAACTGTACAATGAATGATTGAGACGACTTTATAAGCCACTGCAAAACTTTACGTGGCCAAACAAATAGCAGGCTTCTGTCTGACTGCAGAAAAGGAGCTGCCAGGTAATTGGGCACAGATAACTGTCTCAATGCATAAATCTAGCCTCCAATATTTGCTTGCAACACATGTACCTTCAAAGCCATCTTCAGGAGAGTTGAGTCATCCCTCTGCAGTGTACGCACCATCTCCAAAGCCTGCCAGATCAGCCATGCACGCTTCCTCACAGCCCCTACCATCCCCAGCACCTGTGACAACAAGACAAACTTGAAAAGGCATGGAATCGCACACTGTGAACAGCCACTGGTTAAAAGTCCACATTCCATACTCAAAATTTCAGCAGTCTGACAGCTTTGCTGCCTGGTGTTTGTTCCCAAACATCATTTGGCCCATTTCCTGTAGCAGGTTCTTTGCAATCTCTTAAACTCTTCCATGCAGCTCATTGGCTGCTGCTCGATTGATGATAATGGCAATGCTTGGAGTCAGCCATAGGCTGCGCACCTGTGCTGCTTCCACCGCAACATTAACCCTGTCCTCCTCCAACGCAAGCTGGGGCCACTGCTCCATCACCTGGGTCAGCAGATCAGAAGCCTCACCCCTTGCCCTGTGCCCATACAATCCTGCCACAAACCTTGCGCGTTTCAGCTCGACCTCAATTTGCAGGGGGACGATGCCCCGTTTCTGGTATGTTTGGTATGCCTGCATGTAGTAACCTCGAACCTGAAATGCACACAACCAATCACCAGCACAAAAAACACACAGTTCATCTGGATACCTGCACTTGCGCATTGAACAATCTGCTTGCCTTGGGCTTTAAGCTTTGAGACGCAAAAATACCAGAACAGAGTCCAGCGGACTCTGTCCAATGGTGCCATGTCAAGACAAATGGAGTGCAACAAGAGGCAAGACCAAAAGCCAAACTGCCTCTCCTTCCCATGCTTGCTTTTGAATCCAGCAAGCTCACACTGTGCCCTGCTGTGCCCACCACGCCATGACAGCCTGATTTAGGGCAATAGTGCAAGTCACAAAGAGGCAACAAGCACACACAAATCAGGAATGTCAATATTCACACTTGTCCATTTTTTGCACATCTGCCACCCAAGGGACTCAGCTGTGTTTGCAGCATTACAAAAACTTAGTGAACAATGCAAGCAATTAACAACCAACACATTCATCATGGCTCAGTCTGCCCATGGCAAGTAACAGAAGAAATAGGCAGTGCCAACTTATGTGCTCAAGAACATGTCCGCCAGTGTGGCGATCCAGTATGTACACTGTGTGCCATACTTGCTGCTCCAGATTTCTCGTTGCCTTCAGTACTTTCCACAGAGAAACACCACCAAAGCCACAAGTAGAAGTTTCTCGCATTGCCCGGCTCATTGGACTCTCTGGACTGTCTGGAATTTCTGTTGCACTACACAAAATGTCAGCTGATGTCGAGTTCAACCATGAGCAATACAATAAGTGAGCAGAACAAAAAGCAGCACGGTGCCCATTCATGCTGCTGCACCAGCAGCCAAAATGTACAACAGATCAAGTCTGGAGAGCAATCACGTATGAATCAAGTCTCACCAGCTTCTCTGCTCGATTCCTTGTACAAGGCAGCCTTGGACCTGGGAACGAAATGGCAAGCAGGCAGAAGTCAGCAACGCTCCTCCTTTTCACATTAAATCACAGCATATTTGACATTGCAGAACTGACAGTGCCAACTGTGATGTCTCTACACAATATTACTTGCAAGGGAAATTGACACCAGCACAATTGTCAAATGCCAAGCTGCAAGATCACACTGTTCAGGTGTCCTGCAATGTGCCTTGAAATTAGATGGTGGAGATAACAGTGGCAGGAAGATATCCAATAGCACAAGCAGCTACATGAGCCTTGACAGCCATAATTTCACAACAACATTCTTCAAGTTTAACCTCTGCATTCACACGACAATTTCACACACAACGATAAGTTCATCGCCTTCTGGTGAATATTCAGTCAGTCTGGTAAAGAGGCCAGCTGTTTCAAAGCGATGTGTGCAGTGGACTCATGCCCACAGATCAAGGGAAATTCAACTCGATTTCCTGCAGAGTGTTGCAGCAAACTGTGCTGGAGACAAGCCAAACGTTCGATTTCCCCCATTTTTAAGGATGCTAGCACAATGCAGAAATCAGGCAATTGGCAGTTGAGGTTTTCACTCCCAGTGTTCACAGAATTACCATCAGGGACATAGTACACACTAAAAGACAACACCACAGCAACTCTGTAAACAACTGGCTTACCTACTTCTTGGTAAACCGTCACCATCCAGTAGCGCTTGAAGCACCTGCACATTTTTAGCAGAGGTAGCCGTGTCATGTGATGAAACCCTGTGTGCTGTGCTATGTGAACTGTGTGGACCGCTCTCCATACACATTGACCCAAAAGGAAGCACAACAGCCTGTGTGCCATACACCACACATGTCACACTGATGATCCACAGGCCGTGGATGGGCCAAAATCAGCTCTGGAGTCTCTTGCATCACCTTGGCTTCTGCCATTCCCTCCAAGGCCGCTGCACCCCACACTGAGTCTCCACACATCTTCGACAATTCAATGCAAGTGTTGTAATGCTCGGCTGCATCCCCAGGGCTTCCAGCCAACATTGACAAGTCAGCCAACAGCTTCTCAAGCCGAGTGTGTCGCCGACGATGCTTGACTTCCTGCGGTACAGGAACTCACATCTCTGCAGCTGGTGCAAGGACATCTCTGCTGGAGCAGCTGAAAAAAACAGTTCAGTCCATAGAGCATTGACCAGCTGGCAACTTGTGCCAAAACAATATGTCTGATTTCCCAGCAGGCAATGGCAGAAGCACTAACATACCAACTCCACAGTTGCCAAATTGGTACAAGCCGTAAATACGCCATCGTCCTGCTTGGATACTTCAACAGCAGATGCCAAGTATACAAGCATGGCAGCAACCAGCTGCTTGCCCTTTTTGGTGCGTCCACTGGCTTGCAGCATAATACAACATGATAGTATTGGAACCTGCACAAACAGTTCCTTTACCTCTTCACTCCCAAGTTTCTGCCTTGCATCCTCCACACTCATATAGCCAGAGAAATCCGGCAGGTCAACATAAGTCTGTAGTTTCATCTCTGATATAGACTTGTTCAGCATCTGTTGTTGGAGTCCCATCAACACACAGGCAGCAAAGTCATGCATCAACACCTCCAAATGCTGTTCTACTTGGGAACGGTCACCTGAACATCAGAAAACTGAAATCATAAAAAAGTTCTGCACTGTCTTGTCAAATGATCCATTGGCAGCTGAGACACATCAGTCTCCATCCCAGAACCTAACTTTCAAGAATGCTGAGCTAATTCCTGAACGTGTCTGCACTATAGCATGAAGCAAGCAGATTTGTTGGCATCAAGCACCATTGCAGTATTCAATCAATCTGTGAACAAGAATTGAAATGTGATGGCCAGGTGCCGGTGCTGATGATGTCCCCCACAGCACCTGCAAGCAGGCCTCGCCACTTCAACAAAGCAGTTAGACCAACAGTGGGAGCCTCATTCAAACCTCTGTGTGACCCTGCTTAGCCAACATACATGTGCTGCAGATTAGGGTTCATTGAGGCATGTTGTTGTACCTGCCCGTCAAGCAAGGCCATCCATACACTGAAAGAGCCCAGAGAAAAAAGATTGTCAAGGCAACTGGAATTATTTCAAATGAACTGCACTGTTGAAAAGATCAATGGAGGTCAAGTTGATCATTGCAGCTCATCGACCATGCCACAGGTCATCTGTGGCAGAATTCCAGCTTCCAAATGTTCTTTGTTGCTTGTATTGGGAGCACATATATATATAGAGCATCACCTGGTGGAAACATGATCAGGAATTCCTTCTGCAGATTGTCTTTGTTCACCTCATCCTCAAGAGGTTCAAAAGCAAAGCAGCGGAGAGCAACAGCGCTTGGAAACTGCCTGGTACACACAGATCAGGAACTTCAGTTGGTGGGACATCACACAGAGTCTTCTTAAGCTGAGTCCAGGACATTCTGGTCTATATACAGCAATCACAATGTTGTCCAAATGCTTTGAGCCAGGTATCACTGCAAGAACGGAAAAAAAAAGGAGCACATACACTGCTGCAACACCCGCTATCTTCCAAGCCCACTGCCAATCTCAGACAATGTACAGTACTGAATCAGGAAAGATCACTTGCATTCTGTGTGTAACTGCACAGCTCTCCATGCAAGACGTTGCAAGCAATGTAGCACAGCTCTCCAACATAAGAAATCGTCTCAACGGACTAATTTCTACCCCTGAGCACATGTGACAGCACAGAAAATTAGGCAGCACCCAGGTTCTCCATGAAGACAAACCCTCAAGCAATCAAATTTGTGAACTTTGGCACCAGCAGGGCGCTTATGATATGTGCACATCAAATGCAGGACCTACTGTGCCATTTTCTCAAAATCGGCATATGCCTCGGATATATCAGGGGCATGAGGACAATGGCAAATGCCAATCACCCCAACTATGCTCCTGCACCCATGCAAAGCTGTCATTGGGGTTGCCTGCAGGGCTTTGTCACCCTGTAGCACACACAACAAAACATCCAGTCAGCTTGTCTGCCTGTTTCAATTCCTGCAGAAGTGCTGCATGACGCAGCTCATGCAGTGTTGCTGTGCTGCAATGTGTACACAAATCCATTTCCTGCTTGAAGTTCAACCATAGAAGTCTATTATTGAGTGAGCAAACAAGAGTTGAAACAGGACAATTAACATAACAGAGAATCAAGCACCCCATGATGCACAGCACAAGCAAAAAAATGTATCACACCCCCCCCAACTCTGTCCAGATCCTTATGCTCCACCAACTTGTGGTTTGAATTGTGCATCTGTTGGGAGGTGTCAAAGCAACATTTGCATTGCTGCATCTTACGGCAGCTGCCAACACCATGTTCAGCAACCAACACAAGATATGAGAGTTGCAAGCACAGCTGGCCTGATTCTAGACAAGCAACAAATACAGTTGGCAGTGCATCTGTCTCCACATCAATGCAGGCACACAGTCGTCAGGCTGGACACAATTCTCTTTTAGCCACATTCTAGTCAGCATCGTCTACACATTGTTGGGGGGCAAAAACACATCATCTTGTCATCTTATGTTAGCTGTGGAGTCTGGAGACCTACTGGGACACTCTTCAATGGCAGACTGCTGTCAAGACTCACTCTGCAAATTTGGCAGCATATCCATTGGTTTTGACTTGCAATTTCTCTAGATTTTGGCAAGTTCTTTCCAGCAATCTGACTCAAACATGTGTTTGGCCAATTTGAGGTCAGTGCTCGTCAAACAATAAAAATGCTGTGTTGACAAACAGAACACAGTCACATGCCAGCCCAATCATACCTGGACAAAGCTGAAGTGCATGGCCCCTTGGCCCCATTGCAGATGTTTGAGGGGACTCTTTTGGCGCTCATGATAAAATGAGCGAGCAGATAACAATTCGACCTGCAGGACACCTCAGGGATCACCACAGATACATAATTTCTATTGTATCTTCTATCATGTCTTCCCTCCATTTGTGAGCAAACGGATTTGTTATTGCTTTGGAGCAGGGACAGCCAAGACCATCACATAATAGCCACTGTGCCCTTTCTCTGGTACAGATCCTTGATGCAACATTGAATGAGGGCATCGTGTGGGAACATCGAAGAGGACCAATGCTCAACCATGTCTGGAATAGATGAATCTCAGAAATCTGTTGAGGCCATGCACTTATCGACGTAAGTTTGAGCCATGCTCAAGGGCAAGCGCAACAGCTGCCAAATGAACCGAATGTGCTGATCCCAAGAGTGACAGACACACGCACACACACACACACACACACACTTGGGGGACGTTTCTGAACACTCTGGGATATTTGGGACATTACATGATGCACACTATCTGACATGACTTTTCACATTGGTGCTGAGGACTCCCCCACAGGAACACTATGTTTCTACGAACCTTCATGCTCTTCTCATCTCCTGGTTAATCGGCTTCTGCTGGAAAAGGATCTTTGTATACTTTACGCTTTGTGGGGGAGATCCTTTGTTTATCTTTTGATGTAATACATTGGAATTAAAAAAACACACACACACACACACACACACACACACACACACACAGCCCACAGCGTTCTACAAGTCAAACTACTGGTCGGCTTGCCAGCGCCATCACAAGTCACATTTCCGGCACGTGGCTTCGTCACGTACATGGCGATAACTCTCCAGCAGCTCGCAGTAGTCGACCATAACATCCTTAGGAACGTTGCCAGCAGGAATCAACGCCTGACAAACCACATAACACAGCCACGGGCATGAACGAAAGCCAGGGTCGGAGCCATGGATTCCTCATCCAGGAATCGCAGGCCATTGCCCAGCCCAGAGGTGCTTCACACAGCCGGTTGCCAAGGATCTTCGAAGTGGGCGGCGCCATGACGTGCACGACTATCGGGAGCCGAAAGGTGATCCGGCGATGAGCCTGCGTACCACGCGGTTTTCTGCACAGGTGAAGACCGTCACACCAGGCTCCACAGTCCTCATGGTTTCTCCCCGAAGGGCAAACCCGGAGCCTGGCCTTGCAGGCCTCCAGCGTTTGTCTCGCTTGCCAATGTCACCACATCGATGATTACTCAACAATGAACGCCCAAGTTCGCCCAATGCTCACCACAGGGACGGAAACCTCAGGAGCAACAGCACCCGTGGTTGACAAAATCAAGATCTGCAGGCGGTTGTTGGAACATGCGGCCGATGTTTCATTGCCACCGCTGAAGTCGCTGCTCATGTTGTGGTGCATTCAGCATAATCAGTCCTGGCTGATGACCTTCAGACGACTGCAAAACGTTTCAACAACTCTGGTGTGGATTTGCATGTAGGAGCCCCACAGAGTGACACAGCCTACTGCACAGCCGTGGAATCGGCGACTGTTGGCATGCTTTCCGCTGGACATGACTGCAGACCACGGTGTGCCAATGTGACGCATACCCAACCTCGGATGCTGAACTTGAAAATGGATGTGGATGCAATGCACTACGATATATATTCGCAAACTGGAATGCGGCCAGAATCCAGAGACGGCGGTATCGAATGGGGCTTTCCCTCCCCAGATTATTCTGCGCCAGCGTCGCGATATCGCACCACACAATCGACAAGCCATGGCGATAAGAGCGGGGTTGAGCATTGTGCAGGTGTGGAAGACCGTTTCTGCGACAGAGGAAAATCATTGAGCAAGGTGCTCGCATATGCCGAGGTGCAGGGCAATGCTTTGGGAGGTTTATATTCCTTGTGGCTTCTGCGCAGTGCTACTACCCAAAGGGGTGATTACCTTGCTCCAGAGTGTTGAGGCGGCGTTTCGATCGAAACGCAGCTGTTCGCGGACTGCCGGAATCGCATTCTAAACGAAGGAGCGAAAACTATATCCTATGTCAGTCGTAACAATTACGAAGGGCGGATTGCCACATTAATCGAAAAGAAAATTCTCTCAACGATGCCAAGCTATTGCCCCTTCAGATTCCACAGATACCGAGTAGGAAACATTTGGACAAAACCAAATCGCAACAACCGGAATACTCCAGATGCACGAAACTCGGGAAACCCCAGGGAGTTTAATGACTGTGGCGAGTTTCACCCTCAAGTCTATTCACGATTTTACCCTATCCGGAATTTTTTACGATGTCCCCTGGAAACCCGCTCAGGCCCCGTGTCATGTAATCAAACAGAATCCAATCGCGTAAGAAGCGCCAGGTGATTTCCCCCTTGCCTCTGCAAATTCAATGTTCACAGATGTCAAGCTGAGAATCTCAGTAGGGCAGCTCCCCTTCAAGCCTTGGTTGGGCAATTGCCGTGGAACATGAGACTGTTGGCACGCGCGTACACGCCTGCGGCATTCGCCACATTGTCTTTTGCCAATGAGAACAACTGAATACCAGTTGTGTCTCCAAACGAACTTCTCAAACGGTCTTCTCGCCATCCCTCCATTTTCTGGCAGCCTTTTCTCGGTTGCTGTCCCCGCCTTTACCTTCGCATTCGTAGCCAATACAGCTCAGAGGCCAGCAGCGTTGTATTTGCGCTCTTCGATCCTTAGCGCCAATTAGCCAATTAGCCAATTGTCAGCTTCTCGCCATTGCCTTTCAATTTTCCACAATTTGGAAATTGCAAATCATCTGAAATTACCGCATTGTGGATCGTATTTTCTCCGCAGAGATCCAGTATTACTAGATATTGACCAAAAATTTCGTTCCTTCATGTAATCGTATTCAACGTGTTTGTGAACGTGTATATGGACATACAAAGGATGCTCTTTGCATGGTGGTGCTCACCAATGAAGGCACAGACATGCATCAGTTATTTCAACAGGGAAACATTAAATGCAGTTGAAGCTTAGCTTTCAAATTCAGGCGATCTCCAATTCGCAACACTTGAATGATGGAAAATTGCAACGAAATTGAATGTGCTTGGCCCCGGAAGTGAGATCGCCGTAATTCGCAAGCATGCATGGTCATTGTATTGGCTGCCATTGTCGCGTAGAAATGCATAGCATGTGACGCTTTCCTAAATCTACTGCAATTCCCAATCGACAGTGAGATTGTTGGGTACCAATTTCGACGCTTCATCCATCACACTCGAATCGTACGACAACGACCGGAGCTGACAGCGTCAACGTGTAAATCACGTGGGATACTCTGCGTTTACATGGAGCTTTTCAGATCAGACCCAAAGATTGGCGTGAAACCGCTGAGGCAATACGGCCGCACTCATCGAAAATGTCTTTGAGGGGATGCCACTGGCAAGGTATCGTTTGCAAGCTCATCGCCATAGCCGGGGCTTGTTGGTCAAAGGCTGCCAATGGCACGGAAGTTCCGCCGCTGTGCGAAGGCCTAAAATGAGCCGGCTGTCATCGGCATTGTCAACACCAGAGGGAATGGAGGCTTAGGGCAATTCAGCTGCCATGAACTCCAGGCTTCTGTGCATCTGGAGCCAGAGAGTTCTTGCGGCGATTTCCATGGCGACGTGCTTGATCACCGAAGCCAGAGCAACCAGCACGCCCTCAAACAATATTTCAATGAGTCGACCTTGCGGGTTTGACCCTACCATTGGGCAAGAATTTCGGATGAGGAGAATGGAGCATGATAGGGAAACACGCGCGATGCATGAAAAACTCCGGCAAAGGTCACATCCTTCATCAGGTTACGTGAGTGATATGCAAGGACAAGCCCTGTGCATCAAATCACTTGACCATAATTTACTTACCACATGTGCTACATGACATGATCTCAAATTTGTTTTAAATGCAAATGGCCAGTCTGATATATTTAAAGATGCCACCAGTATTTCATGCAATTGCGCTCACTGCATAACCCATTCAAATATTCCTTAATACCCAGTTTCTAGAATAATTCTGTACTCAGCAGCAGTTATTATCTCTGACCGTAAATACCCCTCCCTGTTTTTATCTTTCAATCTCCACCCATTCACGCACCACCAGAAAATGAGACACATGGACTGTGCATGGCCCCCATCTGCCGTTCGTGCTTGGGCCATGGCAAATTTTAAACACCAGCATTGCTTGAGTGACCTGAATTCAGTGAAGCACACTCTGCGATTAAGTGTACGTGAGTCGAGTCCTCCTATGCTTCTGGCTCACAGATTGGCGTGAAATCTCAGGTCCCAGGGAGCTAAAAAATTTCGCCGCCGCGCCCATTCGAATCCATGTAGACTACCAAGTTAGCAGCCTGCAAGATGATTTCCGCAGGGTGGTGCAGGAAACAGTGATACCCTTATCCATCCGCGTGCTGCAAGAGCACATCAGCCTGAAGGACCCTACAGTTGGGAACCTTACCCTTCCCCCAATTTGCCAGTCCATTTTCGTTCCTGGAGGCGAGTGCGCTGAAGTGGCGGAGCCCAGCGCAGTGCCATGTGGAAGGGCACGCGTTAAGAATGAACATTATGGGGAGTACGAAATTTGCAGCTACGACGACAGATTGAACTTCTTCTGCGAGAAAAAGCGCTTCGGTACGTTTCTCTTTTCTCTAATGAATTCTTTAGGATGTTTGCGAATGAATGTGCTCTGCGCATCATAAACATTTCTCAATAGCTTACGCATAGGCCACCGCGGCGCCACGAGGCATGCGGTGTACTTCGCTTCATTGGCAAATCCAAGCCTCGTCACATTTCCCTGGCTGTCTGTAATTGAAACCGCTGGTATTTGGTGAAATCGAAATTGCCATATTTTCATTGATCGGGACTGATGCATTGAACACATCATAGAGAGGTCATTGGCGAATCTGTAAATTTTCTGACGTACATCGTTCTTAGTTGCTTTGGTATTCTACTCCTAAAACCGCAATTCCGATTGCACAGTACGCAGCTCGCCACTGCTCGATCATCTTTCGCCATAGTAGATATGCTCGAAAGCAGCAAGGGCTGCACCTGTTTCTGCTATCCGTTCACCCCATTGAGTTGTACCCGTCCGCAAACATATCCAACTGACAAGGTTGGCGACGAGTGCTTTCTGGAAATGTCAGCAGGTACGGGGGTGGACAGCGCTGACTTTATCCTGTACGTGACAGCGGATGCTGACAAAAATTGCGGGAGTGGGACCGCAGCGTACGCCCACCACTGTGAAACCGACATTTTCACAAATCGCCCGCTGTCAGGAACGATAAATTTATGTCCTGACTTCTTTGCTGTGGAAGAAAAGGGACTACCCGTTCAAAAAATCGAGACTGTCGTGCATGAAGTTCTGCATGCTCTGGTGCGGCGAGCTATGCGATTCTCTGAAGTCGATTAATCCTACCACGGTCTCCAGCAAAGAAGCATCTCACAATTAGAAGATTATTATACAGATGGAAACAAGTCTGCTGACTGAAAAATTCTTGGTGCTCAAGTTTCGCTCCAGTTTGTTTGCATACGCTGAACTCAGAGTTGTCTGTTTCGGAAAGGGGGGATTGCCGTTCCCCACCTGACCACTCACATGCACTCGATTTAGCGTGCTAGGATACCTGTCTTGGTTTATTAGAACAATCACGAAGACGAATGCAATTTGCTCGGATAGTTGATATGCCAGAAACCCCTAGGTGTGGCGATCTTCTCTTCTTTCTCTCTTTAGACCGTGCATTACTTTGAATTAGAATAATTCTGAGGCTTTACATCGCCTTGCAATATCTTGTTAGGTGGCACAAATCCCGCATGTCTTTTATAGGACAGGGGAGGCTTGTTATGGACGTACACTGATCAGTGTTCATCACATGACACATTTCATGAAATGTGATGTAGTATTTTGGAATACAAAGAAAAATCTTGGGAATGTTTTGCGTCAAGTACGGTAACAGTGGACGAAGGGGAGTGTGAAAGTCAATCGTCAGACATTCACTAGAAAACACATTACACGTACCTACATCTCAATTCAAAACAATAGCGAATTTAGATATCCCTCATAAGCGGGTATAGATTGATACTATATTAGTTTTCAATTACTACCAGATTAGTTAGAGGACTTCGTGGGCGGATTGCAAGCGGCTGTGCAGCATTGATATATTTCCAAT